CTGTACGTAATTCTATGCAAGTTGAATTAGATAAATTAAAACATTGGCTACAAATCTATGAAAATCGAAAAGCAATATTACGCCCACAATATCATGAAACATTAAAAGAATTAGAATTAAAATTACATGAACAAGAAATGTTTTATCGAAAACAAATTAAAGATCTTGATTCCGAAATGAAAAGAAAACATCATGGAAGACCATCGGATGATTCAGGGTATGAGACTTTTCATACATATTATCCATCTATTAAAGATAGTCTGATGTATTTATATCGATTTGAGTCCTAATGATCTTGAAATTAAAAAATGTTACTTTGAATTAGAATTTTAGTCGATATTCTTGATCTTGACTTCTTTATAAGACGATTAAAAAGACAATACAATAATCAAAAATTTTATTGAAAAGCAATAGACATCTGTTTTCATTTTGAAAATTCATAGCTTCAACTAAATATCACAACAAATCAAGATATAAAACATATCCTCAACTAACCTGACTGATTTCTTTGTAGTCAAGATCAAAATAAAGCAATTTTTCTCCCGACCATATTTGTCATTAACTCACTGAAACGTTCAAACTGTTTCTTCTTCGATAAGACTTTCACCAGTAGGACATTCACCATTGACGAAACGACAATGGGCATTCGCTAATTAGCGAAAGTCCAGTAGATTTTCGGCAACTGTAATAACACAAGATTAGTGTAAAATGCATGTGAAAAATTAACCTGATGTTATCAGAATAAGCATATTATATTCTAAACCCTTCAATATAGTTACCAGGAGCTATTTTAAATATTATTCTTCTTTTCATCTAGATTCTTCAGTGATACAACTATAGGTGAAAGTCGTATATCTCCAACAGTTGATGCCAATGATACATCGATGTTACGTGAACAAATTCAAAATATATTCTCTCAACATACTCAGGAATTGGATAAATGTAATTCAAAATATAAAACGAATTTATCGAATCTTAAAAATCGTCTCCATGAATTAGAAAATTCTACAACAACAACGACCTATTAGAAGTGTAGTATTAGTATCAGATACATAACATTGAATGTCTCTTTTTTTCTTTTATTGTCTACAAAATTTTTCGTAGTTTAGATGGACTTCTTTTTTTTTGTTTGTCATTTATTCTTTATATTACTGAAGTGAAAAAAAAGCAACAATGAAAAAGAAACACATAATATGTTATTTTTGCGTAGAAAAATACGAAAAGCAATGAAATTGTCATAAAGACTAAAAAGATATAAAGAAAATATCGCTATTGTCATTTTTTAGTCGTATGATTTTTAATGTTGTAGAATAATAGACGCAGCATCACTACGACCTATTTGATTAAGTACATTGATCATATTAACAAGAGATTCTTGTCGAGCTTCCCATAATGTTAATAAATGTTCTGTTGGACTTGATTTTGTTGCAAAATATTGAAGATAACTAAAATATAATAAAAAAATAATAGAAATTCAGTTGATTCTTTTGCGTATTACTTTATTCCAAGAAGATTATTTGCAAACATACGCCAATCATTTCCAAGTGAATTAGGTGGATCTAATACTACACATAATTTTTGACGAATTAGCGATGGTAATCTTAATAAAACGAAAAAATTTTAATCTTAATTAAACTAGTTTTTCTTAATATTACTTAGATATTTCTTTCGTAGATTTTGTAGGTTGACGTTGACGTATAGAAGAACTATTATATCCAGAATTGTGAAGAAACTAAAATCAAATGTATCGATATTAAACACATCTTGTTCTATAAATACTAGGGATGCGCAGTTTCAGTCTACTGAATACTGGTAGCACCGTCAGTTGGTTACTGACAGTGGGTGCACCGCAACACTGTTGCAACGACATGAACCGCTTTATACTGACTTCCTAGGCTTATGCATATCAGTAAAAGTCGGTGCTTCAGTGCCCACAGTGACAGTTTTACAGTATTTGCACTGAAACTGCGCATCCCTAATAAATACGAATATCGTTTTTAACTTACATTATGTGTATTAACACATAAACGTGTATGTAATGCACTATCGAGTATCGTTGGTTGATAAACATCGATATGCATAGCTAAATGATCAATAAATGTTGTTGTTGAATGTTCATTATCGAGTTGTAAATTTGGTATAATAAATATAAAACAAGAACGATCAAATCTTGTTGACCAAAATGTTTTCAAAGATATTTCTTTATATCCAATATTAATTCTTGATGTTGATGATAATTCTAAATCAACATTAATACATATTTGATCTTCATAATCATGTAAAATAAATTGTTTTGGTTGATCACATAGATAATTTTGTAAGGCAAATTCTTCTGTTAAACAACGTTCTAATGCATCTGTTGTTGCATCAAGAAAACGTAAACGTAATGTTGATATAATTTCATTTGAATTTGTTTCTGTTGTTGTTGATGAACGATTAAAAAATGAAACCATTTGAATATACTTTGATGCATGATGATGTTTTGAAATTGATTCACCAATTAATGCATATGCACCCATACTTTCAAACTAGCAAAAAATAAATTTAGAAATAAAATAAGACAACAGAAAAAACTTATTTACTAAAATAAATGCTTGTTGTTGATTATTAAATTGTAAATAAACCGGTGTTGAAATATTTTCTTGTCCATAAGTAAGAATTGTTTTCCAATTGAATATATCATCACTAAACATTAAATTTAATTTCCATGATGATTCTAATACAGCTGTATGTTCAAATGAAAGAACAGCTGGTTTAAGTAATGTTATTTCTGATGGACCAATTAATATAACAGGTGATAAACGTGTTTGTCCATTATTTAACATAGGCATTTGATTTTCAATATTTATTAAAGCAATAAATATTAAATGATCATCATCAAGTAAAACAGCATCTTCAGGTATTATTAATGTTACACCTGTATTAGGAATTTCAAGACGACAACCCTTATTATTAAGTATTGAAACAGCAAAATAACGTAAATCCGTATGTTCTGGTAACGATTGAAGAATATTTTCATAGATTAAATTTAGATGATTTTCATTTGATATTGGTTGACTTGCTAATGATGGATATTGTATATGATTCGATGTATAACTTGATGTACTTAATGTTATAGGATGTATAGATGATTTAGTTGCGTAAAGTTGCCTATTCAATGGCGAATCATTTGATACAAGTAATTTTTCTTTTTCTATTCCGGAATCGAAATTTGTTAATGAAACAGAATTATTTTGTGATACACATGATCTTGTTGATGTTGTATCTTGTTGTATTGAATAATAAAATGGATATTCAGTTTTATCACTATGACAAACGCCTATATGACTACTACCATTACTACTTGTACCTTTTGATGTTATACATGTTGATAAACCTACGAAGAAGAAAACATTAATAAAATATGATAATAATAGACATGTAGCGAACCCGAACGTTCGGGTTCGGAGTGGTTTGGACCGACCTCTAACAATTTAAGCATCGAGATGACTTTTCTGACATGTGTGGTCGCCGAACCCGAACAGTTCGGGTTTCGTTGATGTTTCATAATTTCATTTATTATGCTTCCACATATGTCAGAAAAGTCATTTCGATGCTCAAATTGTTAGAGTGCGATCCAAACTACCCCGAATCCGAACTCTAAAACCGAACCCGAACTGTTCGGTTACAAGCCTAGATAATAATGAATTTACTAGACAAATTTAGATTAAAGGTAGTCTTTCATGGAAATTCAATTCAAAAACAATATGCTGAGTGAACATATTATTTTTCACCATGACCGTACACTCTGTTAATATATCATTAACTTCAAGAGTATCATATTAAGAATGAAATATCAGATGTCAGATCACATCGAACAAGTGTACTTAAAATATATCATGCGAATGTATCTTTAGGAAATATGGAAAGTCTTTTAAATTTTAATATACAATTATTAATTTTGCTCATCCTATTATCAAAGCTTATCTTTTGCCTTGATTTATATTACATAGGGAAAGATAAAGAAAAATGTTAAACAAAGAAAACGATTAAGATAAAATTTTGGTTGATTTTTTTCATTAATTCTACTAGATAGACATTGATTATTTTCTTCTCGATTGATTATTCTCATTAAATATGACAAAGAAGAAAAAGAAATCATCAAAATTCTTTTCAACAATTGTTAACGTATTGAACAAATTAATACACATGGTGCAGATGATAAGCGTTCCTCCCATTTTCTTTCCTTATTCTTCTCTTTTCATGCATTCATTCATTCTCAGTTCGTTAATCTATCGAGTGGGCCCGAGCTGACTGACCGCCGGCACACAATCACATATACACACTACAATTATCTCTGCGGTGTTCTTCTGTTCCCACACGCACAGATTGCTATCTGTCAGTTTGATCTCAATTTCATTGTTTTATTCAAGCAATAAGTATGCATAGCAAAAAAAAAACGCTTGTTTCAAGCAATTTGCACTTTTGCCGCTTTATGATTGTATACATATTAAAGTTCAGCTGTTACAGAGTAAAAAAAACGAGAAGTACGAGAGACATATTTATTTATAAGTGCACAAATGTCACTATGTTTAGTCTAAACTTTTATTAAAGCGGAAGAAAATGATAATATAGCAATTATATAATCATAAAAAATTACCTTTTTTTGATGTTAAACGTTGTCGACGACGCCAACAAATTAAAAAAAATAATATGGTCAGTAAAAGAAAGATGAGTGTACCGATACTAATCGATGAATAAACGATCACATTAAGAGCAGACGATGAAACAAGAGTCGTAGTATTTCTACCATTATTAATATCTAAATAAAAAAAAATATATATCTGAAATAATCAATGTCCAGACAAAAGAATTTCTTAAGAGCGTCGGAAATCTGACTAGACGCCGCCTCTCGTTATAATCAAATTGAATTAGTTATTTCATAAGAATAAAGATCAAGTAGATGGTCATCATCGTCATCATCATCGACTTACTTGAACAATGATTTCCTTTGCATGGTCGACTTTCAACTAAATAATCGAGACATGGCTCTTGTAAACATTGCCGCGTACGCATTGATGTACAATCCGATGATCGGCAAGTCGACCATTCAGTCCAATTTGTATACGTACCTTTAAAATTAATAAAAATAAATGAAATTTTTATATTCAAAATCGTTTCTATTACCACTTGACAATGGACGAACGGGAGCATTTGATGATGATGAAGTTTTATTCGAACAAGATACAAGACAATCACGTTCTTGTATTAATTCACCATCACAAATAGGTTTTTTTCCATCGGTTACTGATTGTTTTAAACAAGTTCGCATACGTTGTTGACGACCCGTTTTACATACTACTCCTGTGCAATCTGTCCATGAAGACCAATCAGAAAAGCCATCATCTTTAGAGCGAAAAAGAAAGATTCTTTTATAAAATAGTATTTAGAAATTTATCTTACCTGTTGGTACAAGTACACCTGAAGGAGCTGGTAAATCTTTTGGACATGCGACTTGACATTCTCTTTCTTGTATCTGATCACCATCGCAACTAGGACGATTTGTAATAGTTGGTGGATTAAGACATGTACGTACGCGTTTCTGACGACCGATACTACATGGTATACCTTTACATTCAGAAAATGGTTGCCAATCTGACCATCCACGATCATCTAATCAAATAAACAAATAATTTAAACTAAA